CTGTCCTGTATGCAGTTCTTCAGTGGGGACTTCAGAGGTGGTACTGAAACCTAACCCTGCGTTTATACCAAAGGTTATTAACCCCGCTCTATCATGCCGCCCTCTTGAGTTGGTGGCTTTCTACCCTTCACCCTTCCCCTCTCAGGAGCATGAGCGACTCCACTCGCTCTGCCCGGTACGAGCTCTGAAGATGTATGTGTAGAAAACACCTGGTTTCTGCATATCTGATCAGCTGTGTTTCATGGTCCCCACCACATAAAGGGAAGCCCCTCACTAAACGTCTCTCACATTGGATAGTGGGAGCTATTATCATGGCTTATGAGGTTAAGGGCCTCTCACCCCCTGCAGGCCTGCGAGCTCATTCCACTCATGGTAAGGCGTCATCCTGGGCAATGTTTCAGAGTATACCTTTGGAGGGCATCTGTGGGGCTGCCAGCTGGGCAACTCCTCACACCTTCACTAGGTTTTATAGTTTGGATGTTACCACACGGTTCTGGGTGTAGGATCTTCACCTTTATAAGTTAGGTCCTCGAGTAAACTTATCTGGCAATACAGGAGTTGCAACAACCCATAGTGAGATACCGAAATGGTTGAAAGAGAACTTTAGGTTAAGGAATTAACCCTGGTTCTCTGAAACAGGAGTGAGGTACGTATCTCACCAGATCACCCTCCTTAACTGGAGCGAGAAAGAGGTGTGCTACGAGACTGACGATCACCGGCGTGACGTCAGCTTCTTATACTGGAGATAAGTCCCTCCCCCAGTAGGAGACGTCACCTCTGTGAGCCAGTCATGACTGGCGTAATGTTATAGTTCTTCTGGAAACAGGGCTGGTTGCGTGTCCCATAATGAGATACCTCACTCATGTTTCAGGGAATCAGTGTTAATTCCTTAACCTAAAGTTAAGGCTATTCAAATAAAAAATGATTGGGGTACCACATTTTTGCACCAGTCAAGTTTTGATTTAATGCATATTGCACATTTTCTGTTAGTAATATTTCAGTATTGAATTGAGGTTTATTGGACTGTGTCCATAAGTTATTAGATATATCAAAATGAAAAAGCTGGTGCAAAGACCCAAATATTTAGAAACAAAAATAAGGTTAATAGGGGTGCCAAAACTTTTTCATTGGCAAATTACCTGCTCTAAAGGAAAAATACAAGTAATTCTTAGTTTTTCCTGCACAACAGCAGTATCACACACTAAAGATGACCTGGATTAGATCAGATAAATCTATCAGGCAATGAAATGAGGATTTCTATTCTTAATTATCCGCTTAAAATGATTTTTTATTCTAAATGTCAAACTTATTCCATCGTTAAATTTTTTAAATTAACAGATAAATATTCGCATAAAAAAAAAGAAAAAAAAAACTCATTGGCACTTTTTTAGTTTATTTATTATTTTTAATTTTTTCCAAGGCGAGCCAGAAATAAAGGCTTTTAGGAATCCTGCTGATTTTCCATGAAGTATTTAATGTTTCTGGACCATTGGAGACAAAGCTTCAAGTTATTTCATCATGTAAAAGCATGAAATCACACATTTATTGGGAAATCTTTAATTGGTGTCAAAGACCTGGTTCTGGAAATACAAATAAAACAGAAATTTGACTTGAACATCCTTATAAAGGCTAATTAAAAAAATAAAATAAATGCAGCAGTGATCAATGCATCAGAAAGGAGGGTTTGGTTAAAAAGCCTGACACTGATACCTGGTGGAAACAAACCTGCCTGTGATTCTCCACCTCTGGACACCGTAAAACACAAAAAAAACCTTCAGAACTTGATAAAATAACAGGATAATGCATGAAGATCACAGAAATCTACAGAAACTTTAATGTAAAAAGGTGTAGCAGCAATTTTATATATAAATTTATAAAAGAAAATAAAAATCTGACATTTAAAATGAGGCAAAAAAAAAAAAAACTACAGGTTTGAAATAAAAAAATAAGAAAAAGAAAATGAAAGATAATCTATGTTGCAGCTTTTAAAGCCTGGCTAGTTCTGCTGTTCTTTGAGGTAGCCAAGCTACGGATCCCAAAGAAAAATAAAACTAATTATGGCCACAATTCAGCCAAAGAGAAAATAAAAAAAATCATTTTAATCTTGCACAAAACATTCCCCATCATGCAAAGCCCACTTCGTAGCAGCACATAGGACCAAACATGGCCCTAGAAATAGTTAAATGGGCAAGTAAGATGAAAAACGATAAAAATAAAATTACCACACACGCCAACCACTGTCAAACACATGCACGCCATCAAGTAAAGAACCTGTGAAACCTCGATTCGCTGAGAGGACGACGTGTCTGCAGGGACAGGAAGGCCGCGTCGCCTTCGATGTCATTTCTCCAGACGCACCGACTTCCTTCCATATCAAACCAACCAGTAAACGTTTTTCCGCCTCACCTTCTTTCAGTTTCAGCTTAATAAGAGTAGAAATCTGTCTTTTTCTACTGGCGGAGGTGGGGCTCAGGGGGAGGCGTGCACATCCTTGGTTTGATTTTTGGCCCTGCAGCTTCGGCTCCGTTCAGCTCTTCTGTTTTTTCACTGCTCAGAGGTGGAGTCAGGACGCCGGAGGGGACGGGGCAGCCGCTGTGCTGTTTCAGATCCGCGTCCTTGTAGGAGTAGGCCCTGTCCTGCACAACAGGATAACAACACGGGTCAGAATCTACAGAGGTAGATTTCTATCAAAATATCTGTGTTTATATTTTAAGATTGACAATCTGCGAACGGCGCTAGGCTNAAACTTTTTCATTGGCAAATTACCTGCTCTAAAGGAAAAATACAAGTAATTCTTAGTTTTTCCTGCACAACAGCAGTATCACACACTAAAGATGACCTGGATTAGATCAGATAAATCTATCAGGCAATGAAATGAGGATTTCTATTCTTAATTATCCGCTTAAAATGATTTTTTATTCTAAATGTCAAACTTATTCCATCGTTAAATTTTTTAAATTAACAGATAAATATTCGCATAAAAAAAAAGAAAAAAAAAACTCATTGGCACTTTTTTAGTTTATTTATTATTTTTAATTTTTTCCAAGGCGAGCCAGAAATAAAGGCTTTTAGGAATCCTGCTGATTTTCCATGAAGTATTTAATGTTTCTGGACCATTGGAGACAAAGCTTCAAGTTATTTCATCATGTAAAAGCATGAAATCACACATTTATTGGGAAATCTTTAATTGGTGTCAAAGACCTGGTTCTGGAAATACAAATAAAACAGAAATTTGACTTGAACATCCTTATAAAGGCTAATTAAAAAAATAAAATAAATGCAGCAGTGATCAATGCATCAGAAAGGAGGGTTTGGTTAAAAAGCCTGACACTGATACCTGGTGGAAACAAACCTGCCTGTGATTCTCCACCTCTGGACACCGTAAAACACAAAAAAAACCTTCAGAACTTGATAAAATAACAGGATAATGCATGAAGATCACAGAAATCTACAGAAACTTTAATGTAAAAAGGTGTAGCAGCAATTTTATATATAAATTTATAAAAGAAAATAAAAATCTGACATTTAAAATGAGGCAAAAAAAAAAAAAACTACAGGTTTGAAATAAAAAAATAAGAAAAAGAAAATGAAAGATAATCTATGTTGCAGCTTTTAAAGCCTGGCTAGTTCTGCTGTTCTTTGAGGTAGCCAAGCTACGGATCCCAAAGAAAAATAAAACTAATTATGGCCACAATTCAGCCAAAGAGAAAATAAAAAAAATCATTTTAATCTTGCACAAAACATTCCCCATCATGCAAAGCCCACTTCGTAGCAGCACATAGGACCAAACATGGCCCTAGAAATAGTTAAATGGGCAAGTAAGATGAAAAACGATAAAAATAAAATTACCACACACGCCAACCACTGTCAAACACATGCACGCCATCAAGTAAAGAACCTGTGAAACCTCGATTCGCTGAGAGGACGACGTGTCTGCAGGGACAGGAAGGCCGCGTCGCCTTCGATGTCATTTCTCCAGACGCACCGACTTCCTTCCATATCAAACCAACCAGTAAACGTTTTTCCGCCTCACCTTCTTTCAGTTTCAGCTTAATAAGAGTAGAAATCTGTCTTTTTCTACTGGCGGAGGTGGGGCTCAGGGGGAGGCGTGCACATCCTTGGTTTGATTTTTGGCCCTGCAGCTTCGGCTCCGTTCAGCTCTTCTGTTTTTTCACTGCTCAGAGGTGGAGTCAGGACGCCGGAGGGGACGGGGCAGCCGCTGTGCTGTTTCAGATCCGCGTCCTTGTAGGAGTAGGCCCTGTCCTGCACAACAGGATAACAACACGGGTCAGAATCTACAGAGGTAGATTTCTATCAAAATATCTGTGTTTATATTTTAAGATTGACAATCTGCGAACGGCGCTAGGCTTACCGCACCATGACGCCACTGCTGGAAGATGTCAGGAGTGAGGCGTTACTATATTTGGGCAAAAATGGCCGCCTCCAGACTCCGTGATTGCGACAAATTATTGTTTTTGTTTTTTTTACAAACGCTAAATTCATTAAATCACAGCGAACGCATTAGTTTTAGGTATAAATACTGATCCATTAGTTATTCCTTGCTGACCGGACCTTTCCTTTAATAAGAGGACAGCTAATAAGCTACGGTAATAATTATTAGCATTACTTGCTAAGCAACACCAGTTATTAATGGCAATAAATTCTTTGCAACTGAATGTTTAGCTGTATAAGTAAAAAAAAATAATAATAATTAAGACATTTTGAATTAAATCCATCTGGATTTAAACCCTCCAGCTGGGACCTCTGAACATAGAACTATGCAGCATTTCCAGCGTCTGTCAAACATGTTTTCAGTCAAATTTACCAGCCATGTGAGGTAGGATGCGTGGCGCTGGATGTTGTGCATGTCGTCCGCTGGGATTCCTGCAAAGATCTTCATTTGCGATCCGCCGGCCTCTCGCAGCGCCATGGCGAACGGCACCATCCACCTCACGCACTCCTCCACCTCCACCCTCTTCAGAGCTGCAGGGAGGAAACGAACAAATTAGATCAGCGAGGCAGAACAGAACGAGCCCAACTGCAGACGTCCTCCTGCCGACCGAGCAGCGGCTTAAAACAGAGACAGGAAGTACGTCGCTTACGCTTGAAGTGAGACGGCTGTTTGAACGGAGCTCCTTTAGTTCAGTTTATATTTGGCCGTCACTTCAACGGGTGGGAGATTTCATTATCAATGTGGAAGGATTGTCTGCATTTAATGAGAGGTTGACAAATAATAAATATTTGGAACGGCATTTCCAGGGAAGGCGAGCTAAATATGCAGCTGACCACCAAGTTGGGAGGGAGAGAAAAAGTTTGATTGCAGAACTTCTGGATAAATTAGAGAGCAAAGATAGATTTAAGAAGCAGATTGCATCTACACTGCTGCTGCTAGTTTTGTTGCAAGCATGAAAAACCGTCCAACAGGCAGCGCTCTGATGCAGGGATCAGAACTTTCTTCCATTTATTCCCCAAATCCTAATAATATAAATCGCACCAAGGAACGCTGGTGACGGAGGAGATGGGATTTCAGGGTTAGAAAGCTCTGCTCTGATGGATGTCACTTCCTGCTTGGTTCCTCATGACTCAGTCAACTCCTCCCAACAGAAACGTCCACCATAGAAAGATTATATTTTATATAATTTCATCTGGAAAACCGATCCATGCGTTTATTTTTAGTCAAATTGATTACTGCAACGGCATTTTCACAGGTCTGCCTAAAAAATAGATCAGACAGCTGCAGCTGATCCAGAACGCTGCTGCCCATGTCCTCACTAAGACTAGGAAAGTAGAGCACATCACCCCAGTTCTAAAGTCCTTACACTGGCTCCCTGTATCTC